GACTAAACTTTTTATTCTCCTTTAGGGGAAGAAAATGAGCACAAAAGCCAGAGCGTCATATCTGAAAGCATCACCCTCCCCCTTCACCCTCTAAAGAAAGGCCCTCGTCTGCTTCTCTCACTCTGGAAGGCAGGGTCATGGCCACGATCACAGCCTTACGTGGAGGAGCCTGCACCCCCACACCCAGTCCTGTGGGAACCCTTGGATGTCCTGGAGCCTGGGAGAGGTGCTGGGACACACAGGGGTGCACGCAGCCCCCCTCCTGCCCTGGGGCCCATAGGCCTGGCGGGACAAGGACGTGCCAAGGGGCCTGGGGTGGCTTCAAAGAAGAGGCAATGTTGGAGCAGGTCCTGTAGAAGGAACAGAGGCTGGTCCGACGATGCCAGAGGGAGAGGGAGTCAGGGAGGGCAGGCCAGGAGGAGACGGGCCATTGAAGGATGGCTCATGGCATACTGTGCCGGAAAGGAGGCACGTGCAGGGCTGTGAGCGTGTGTGTCCACATCCGAGGACATAAAAGGGGCAATTCTAGCCAAGGAGCCTGGATGCTGCTCTCCAGGAGAAATGGCCCGGGAGAGAGAAGAGTAAACGATCAGGGGGGAGGGCGCAGCTCAGTGGTGGGGTGTGTGCTTAGCATGCACGAGGTCCCGGGTTCAACCCCCAGTACCTCTGTGAAAAATAAATAAATAAACCTAATTATCTCCCCCACCAACAAAGATTGGGGAAAAAAAAGTAAGCAATCAAATCCACATTGGAGGAGGAGCCCTCCGTGGCCCCGTGCAGGACGACTGGGCACAGGTGCTGGCTGGAAGGTCACTGCGCTCACGGTGAGGAGGGAGGGGGCCATGAAGCCCGCAGACTGGAGCGGGCGCTACGGGAGAGATCAGTACTGTTTCCACGTCGTTAGAACGATAGTCCGCTATAGGAGACACATGTTAACATCATACCCAGTTTGCACGCTTATACTGAGTGTCCATCGGTGCCTGTGTGTCTGTACACGTGCACACACGCCCCGAAGGTTTCACTGGATGGTAAGACGGCGCTGCAGGCCCGTGGCCCCGCCACACACATCGCCCAGCACAGGGGTGAAGGCAGCGAGGGGTGCTCTGAAGCAGCAGCCCCATCCCCCAGAAACACTCCCCACAGCACTGTGTCGGGTTGCCACTGACAGGAGGCCACCCCAGGGCCGTCTGTTACGGAGGTGATGACTGATCACTCGCTGGGACTCGCTGTTGTTTTGGGAGACTTCCTGGTCCATCAGGCTTACTTAGCTATTCACAGGCCTACATCCCACAGAGCGCTCAGCACCACTCCTGATCTGTGCTGCGGCTTTCTGCGGATATTTCTGGAGTCAGTCTGTTGCTCCTTCAAAAATGAAATGAAAGAGGCTGCTACACCCAACTGCCGCCTGGTATTGTGGATTTTGCTGAAAATGCCTGAGGCCCTGGAGCTCGGTTTCTTGAAGAGAACCATTAACACAGGATGTGAATTCCGGTCCTGATGCCCCACTGCTGCAGAGCGGGGCGCCTGGCCTGCTCCTGGCCACATCGCTGGCGGAGGAAGAGTGGCCCTTGTCCGCGCTGAATGGGTGGGTGACTGGGTTCTGTCCTGGCAGCCCCATGGGAGCCTCCCAGGAAACTCATTCACAAAGCACGGCCACCTGTGTAACTGTAACTGCTGACAGCCATCAGGCGTCCGGTGAAGTCCCAGGCACCACGCTACACACTGCATACGCCTCATCGCGCGGTCTTCACACCGGACTTTAAGTCCTGTTATTTCCTAAAAGATGAAGCTAAGGCCTAGAAAATTAAAGAAACCTGCCGAAGGCCACGAAACCACAGGGGATGAGCCGTCACTCAGATTCAGGTGTGCCTGCCTTTAGAAGCCGAAGTTTTAACTGCTAAGTGATTATTTTATCTGTTCCTCTAAACATGTGTTTCTGAGACTTAGCGAGACCCACTGATTTCCTTAAGGAACAGCGAACGGGTGGTGATGCCGAAGCCATCAGTGTAGAGTCGGTGCCCCTCCACCACCCCACAGCAACCTGTAATTTAATACCCTGACCCAGCCCTGGTCAGCAGTGCCCCCAGCAGTGGGGCACCCGGGAGAAAACACAAAGAGAGAAAAAGTTCCTGGAGGGTCAGAGGCACGAAGGGAAGCTGGCTCTCTCACCCTCTCTTGCCCACATCACCATCTCTAGTCAAAAGGAAAATAGAAGAAAGAAGCCACGTTTAGATGTGGCAGAAAAGAAAAAAAGAAACTAAATATGATGTTGGCCTAATTTAAGGCAGCTGTGTAATCTATATGTTAGGAGGCAGAGCAACAGTTCAAATGACAGAAAAGAGGTAGACGGTGGATTAAACAAGATCATGTGTTTAAATATTTAAAAACCATCAGAATCTTCCCATGTGAAAGCCGATAATAAAAACAGAAATAAAGTTAATGTGTCTTTCTTTGATAAGAGCCTACAATAAGGAAAGGCATGAAAAGAAGTTCTTAGAATTGGAAGCTCCAGACACCATCTCTCAGTGAGAGAAGGAACCCATGAGCCGGCCCACCGCGGTTATAAAAGTTCACATTTACATGGGACAGATTTTACAGTCCAGTCACACACAGGCCTCGACAAGAGATTGGTAACTGAAATCAACTGCTTTTCAACAATTACTAAAAATTCCTCTTTAAAAACAATTGTGAATATCAAAGCTGGACGAAGTCTGGCATGAACAGAAAGATGTTCAAAAAAAAGCAAGTGATGGTAAAGCCATGTACGCTGATCTCTTCTTCCTCCATCAGCTCTAACTCTGGTCCCGCATTCCGTCTTGGATCTTTGCTTCTTTCTCTGGGACCACACTCAAGAATTTAAACAGTGACTAGGCTAATGGAGCAGTAAATTCAATAGAATGTCCCCCCACCTCCTTATTCATTTCTCAACAAATATTTGTCAATGGTAGTTGAAAGTAAGGCTGTCTTCACTTAAACACTGCCGCAGACCAGAGTCCCAGTCTGAGAAGTGGTTTACGTGGAACGCTTACTTCAAAAGCAGAATTCGTTCTGAGGAACGTGCCAAGTAAAATGGGAACTCCACTAATGCCAACTGGATACACTCTGAATGTATTAAAAGTCTGAAGATACTTTTATGACCCCTCCACAATTTCCTATTAACACCTAGGCCTGGCTGCACTGTGGATGTGCCACAATTTGACACAATATCGGCTTATTATGCCCAATAAGTTTCCACCTCTCAGGCTGACCGCAAAGTATAAAGAGATGTGAACAGCTGTAGTGTGAAAACACTACTACTGAAAGGAAGAGGAAATGAGAGATGAAAAGCCTTTCAGAGAACAGAGAGAAAGTGTTTTTTCTTTTTTTTTTCTCCTTTAATTTAAGAATTACAGAGCCAGATGGTCACCATGAAAACCTAACAAGCAAACACCTGAACTTGTCAGCCTGTGGAAAATCTCAAAAGGGTCATGAATGGTTCTGCAGTTGGTGAGTTCAAGGAGGGGCATCGAGCAACAGATGCCGTCTCCAAGGTATTCGGACGACAGCCCGTCAGAAGCAGAACACAGGGCTTCACAGGAGGAGGGCGCACCGAGCAACACAGATATTCTCACAGAGCAAACAGACACAGACAGGAGAGAAAGCCCACAGGGTTTGCATATGTGATCATAAACACAAGGTGCCAACAGACAAGGAGAGGAGGGCCTCTCACTCCCTGGATAAATGTGCGCGGGTCTCTGGAATCACTGGGGCTCCCCACGTGGTTACCACAGCCTGGAGATAGCTCTGCACACGAGGGCACCTCCTCTCTCTAAGCCAGGGATGGACCAGCCTCAGACGATGGACAAGTCCCAGTGCTCACACAACTACGAGGATAAAGTGGAGGCATTCCATCCTCACAGAGACAAAAGTCACGTCACCAGATTCCTTCCAGGGACCTCCTGGGCGGGTGAGGTCACAGCAAAGGGCAGGGCCGCCCCTCCCTGGCTGCCCTCCTCCCCCAGGGGGTGAGAACATCAGCTTCAGGGCCGCCTTTTCCTCCCCTTCTACACGAATGTCTTCCTCCTGCTTGGCCTGTGCCTGATGGATGCCTGGTCTCCACAGAGGAGATGCTCGAGGCCAGAGAGAAGACGTACTGCCTTGTGGGTCACCACACGAAAAGAGTTTGCTACATGGGGGAAGGCGGTAACCAGCCAAATTCCAACTCTCCCAAAGCCACGAGGACTTCCCCTGTTGTACAAAACATAGTATGTTTCTAATACACGACATCTGTCTGTGCACAGCTGCCCCGGAGCAGCTTGGCTAAGAGCAGGCCTCAGGCTGACAGTCTCCTTAACTGCTGGCCTGGCCACGCTGCAGAGAGCAGAATGGCACTGGGCAGCCACCGCCAGGCAGTTCTCCAGTAAGACGTGTTAGTCTTTACACAGTCATCCTCATGCAACCATCAGAGTGAGCTTCATGACAAACGGGTGAAAATAAATCACTTTTAGGAACTTGGAGAGATCGGATAAGAAGCAAACCATATGTGACAACTCTTTGGTCCTCCCTGTGATGGCTGTAATTGTCACCACCTGTGCCGTTTGCTCTGTCTGCCCACCCCTGCCTCCCCCGGCCGCCCTGTGCCCTCCTCTGTCCAGCATGGCCCCGGGAGGTGACCTCTGGACTGCAGAACTATCTGCATCAGCCATGGCCTTGCTCTGTGGCTTCTGGCTGGGCTCAGCCAATGGGAGGCACCGGAAGAGCTCAGAGGCAGGAGCAGAGGGATGTTGGGGTCCCTCCTTCACCCTGTGCTCCTGTAGCCAGGCAGCCCCTCTTGCACCCCTCGCTGCTTTGGGCCCCCATGCTCAGCCTCCAACTGCTGCTAGTCCTGGGTGCCTTGGCAGCCCGCGTTCCTCCCGTAACCCTGCCCATGGAATCTCCACCACCAAGCCAGTAACTGCACTCTCTCGGGTCTGAGCACCTGCTGCTGACCCACCCCCTGGCTCCCCGCTGGCATCACTCACGTGGACTGTGTGGACCAGGTCGGCCGCCAGGCACTGCTTCAGCCGCTCGTCGCTGCCGGTCCCGTGAAGCACCAGGTCAGGCACGTAGGTGGGGCAGTAGCCAGCCAGCAGGGAGCGGCCAAAGTTTCTCACGTTCGGGTTGCTGATGCTCTGAGACCTAGGACGACACGGGCTGTTAGAACACACCACCAGCGCGTGCCCCTTCTTGCACTGCCATTGGGCCTGAACCGCGGGGGTGCGGGTAAGAAGTCGGATTCAGGTGGTACCTATCGGGACCCCTCCAGAAAGCGGGGCATTGGTGCGCCTGCCACAAAAGGAAAGGAGTGTAGAGGAAGAAGGGTTTCCTTAAAGGGGAAGAGCAGGAAAAAACGAGCATTCTGACAGCTGGTTGAGTCTGTTCCTGTGCCTCACACAGCACATCACCAGCAGGCAAGAAAGGGGAAGTCTCCCGAGGGGCTCTTGCCAAGCCTGGCTCTGGGAGCTGGACACAGCTGCACATCCGTCCCGGACAGGGAGGAACACAGAGATCTCTGCTTCCGGCTCCGGGCCCCACAGAACAAACCGCCGACCTGCCTCAGTGTTACGAAGAGGTGGTGCTTCCCGGCCCCTTCACACTGCTCCGGCTGCAGGCGGCGGGGTGTGACCCGCCACCACTGAGGCGCGACAGGAGACGGCCCTCCCCGCTCCCCAAAGCCACCGCATCCGTCCCTGACTTCCCCCAAACGTCTCAAGAGCCGCAAAGGCCCTGCAGGCCGCCTGGCTTATAGCTCGGCTGCTCTAATCCCCCGTCGTCCCCAGAGGAAGGGCAGGCCCGAACCTCCGAGAACGCAACCCTGACC